GGGAAAGAGAGGTGGTTTTCCCACAACCAGAGGCTTCAGGAAGGAGTTCCAGTCCTAGCCTGTGGGATGCCCCTCTCTGGGCTGGTTCATTCTCTCCCCCCAGTCAGGCCCGCTGGTTCCTTCCCCTCCGTGCAGGGCTTGGGAAGGTTGGCCTGATACTGCTCCTTCTTGCTCTCCATTCCCGCTGGGCCTCCTTGGCCATTGGCTGCATGTCTGCTTGGTTCTGGGTGGAGTTCCTCTGGACCAGCGTTGGGAAGGAGGGGCCCTGGCCATGCCCCGAACGTGCACTTTTTCTTCACTCCCTCCAGCCAGCATTCACAGAGGTCCTCTCCTCCTGCCCAGTCCTGCAGCCATGGCCTCAGCGTTAGATGCCAAAGGAACGTTCATGCTCCTGTGCGGCCCAGCACCTGGGCACCGGGCTCTGGCATCAGGCCGGGTTCTCATGGAGACCCATGGAGAGGTCAGTGTGGACCGGGGATGCTGGGCTGTACCTTTCCACCACTGTTCCTGCAGCCTGCAGTGCCCTTCCTGTTCCTGCCAAGGACAATGTATGATTCAGGACCCGGGGCAAGTTTCTCTCTCCTATGGCAGGTCTTTCCTGGCCCCTGCCCCCTCCACCACCAGAGTTGAGGGGATCCCTCCCCACTGCCCACCGGTCTCAAAGCACTCACACCTGGCTCAGTGTATGTGCATGATGACATGTCTCTCTCCTCCCTCCCCTTGGCTGTGAGACCCTTGCATTCTCCAGGTTTAAAATAGTGCCGCCCTAGCTGGTTTGGCTCAGTGGAGAGAGCACGGGCCTGCAGACTGAAGGGTCCCGGGTTGAAGGCACATGCCCGGGTTTTGGGCTCAATCCCCAGTTGGGGGCGTGCCAGAGACAACTGATCAATGATTCTCTCTCATCATTGATGTTTCCATCTCTCTCTCTCTCCCTTCCTCTCTGAGATCAATAAAGTAAATAAATAAATTTTAAAAAATAAATAAAACAGTGTACTCAACAGGCCCTCAGTACAGATTGGACGAATCAAGGAGGCACTGAGGTGCAGAACATTACGGAGTCCTGTGGGAAAAGCTGTGTCACATTTTTCTTGAGGTACCTGAAGCTGAAGTACTTGCTGAGAAGGCGACAACTCATAATAGTGGCCCGTGCGTGCTGAGCCCTACGCCAGGCCCTACCCGCAGCGTTTTGCCTGTATTATCTCACCGGATTCTCACAATACCCCTGTACAGGCTGTGCTCTCTCCCTTTTGCTCTGTAGAAAAAACAGGCACAGAAACGTTAAGGAACTGCTCAAGGTCCCACAGCCAGGAAGTGGAGGAGGAATTTCAACTGTAGGACACAAGCCATTAACCCTATGATGCAGGCCGCATGTTTGGTGCCAGCTCCCCTCCCTCCCAGCCACCCTGATCCTGTACATGGCATGGGCAAGGCATCCTCGTGGGGAAAGTAGACAATGGGGCAAGATGCCGCCTGCCCCAACCCTTAGCATCCAACCCTTGTCCTAGTGCCAACGCGGGTGAGAGGGGGGAAGTGCTGAGGACGGAAGGGAGGGACGCAGGGTCGGGGGGAGGAGCCACGGAGGGTTGGCCAGCCAGCCCCACCCCCGGATCAGGCTGGTTCGCTGGCCACAGTGGGCATCATAGCAACCAGTCATTCTGGCATTACAGTCACTGGCTTTTTATATATCTAGACTAAAGGCTTGGTGCACAGAGTTATGTAAAAGTGGGGTCTCTCAGCCTGGCCTGTGCCCTCTCACAATCTGGAACCCCTCAGACATCCTTCTCGCTATCTAGGACCCCTCGCTCCTAACCGCCTGCCTGCTCGTTCCTTACCGCTTAGCTCGCTGCTCCTTAGCACTGCTACAGAGGTGGGAGAGGGTCCTGTCACTGTGGCTGTGCTCGTCAGCTGTGAGCCCAGCTTCTGGCTGAGTGGCGCTCCCGCTGTGGAAGTGTACTGACCACTAGGGGGCAGCTCCTGCATTGAGTGTCTGCCCCCTGGTGGTC